ACACATCAGCAGCAACATGAGACACATCAGCAGCAACATGAGACACATCAGCAGCAACATGATGTGATTATCCTGGTTAGAGAAAAACAATCTGATCATCTTTGTTTGGTAAAATAACCTGAAATCTTTCTGTTTTACAGTTTATGTCCAACCAGCTGTTCAACGTACAGATGTGGTTGGATCTGCAATGAACTGTTGTTTCAATGTCAACATTTTAAATAGTGTTTGCAAAGTTTTGATGCTTGAACACGTTTGTCAACAACACACAAACAAAGAGACAAAAACAGTTTTGACTTTGTTGGTGAGAATATTTTGACTTTAGCAAGAAATAAATCCACGAGCTCAGACGGGACTTTTCGTGTTAGTGAGACTGACAAGAACTGCAGCAGACGAAAAGACACAATGGACTAAACACACACACACACACACACACACACACGGAAGCAACAAAAACCACCAAACATAAACTTACTGGTAAATAGTAGGAAGTGACGTTATGATGAATCGCCCGCTCAAACCTTACAAGAAGAAAAAAGATTAGCACTGCGAGTAAACAAGGAGGAATATTTTTAATCACCGTGACTCCGTCCATTTTACTTGATCTGATTTGTTGAACGGGGAGGGGTTGCAGGGATCTGCTGCCTATCTCAAGCAGACACTGAGGGAGGGGGGACACCCTGAACAGCTCCCGAGTCCAGCACAGAAACCACATCATCACATTTCATGTAGGAAAGCTGCAGACCCTGAAAGGGTTTTTGATCCGACTTCAACCATCTCGTGGTTTCTGCCACAGGAAGTTTCACCCAGCGCTGGTAAAAACTGCACCTCGTTTCCTCAACAAGAAGGTAGAGGCTGAGCTCGTCTCTCGTGATGAACAGTTACGGTTTTATACAGCCACAAAGACGCGAGTTAGAAACAATGAATCGTCTTGGATTCTGTTTGAGCTTTCATGGACGTCAACAGAGCGCGCTGCGACGGTGAAGGACAAAACTTTACAGCGATGTATCGTTTAGTTTTGTGAACAATGAGTGAAGATGAAATGTTTTGATGCTAAGGAACAAATTCAGATTAAATATAGACCGTTTACCAAACTCTTTAAATAAACTGTACATGTCTCAGTCATGTCCTGTGGTCGGCTTGTAGAGACATGGATTATTTCAACAGGGTTTGAATTGATTTATGATGTGCTGAATTATTTTATGTAGTTTGACATCACCTACATTAAACACAAGACCATATGGTTATTAAAATTGTGAGACTAACCTGTATAAATAAAGGTTGCATGAATACCTACAGACTGAAACTAGTGGTTCAAACAGGGAAGAACTTGCATTTCTAAATAAATTAGTACAAGATACAGTGGGGGGGAAACTGAAAACACTAAAATCGTCTCGGAGAAAGCAGCTAGAAGTTATAAAGGTCACTCAGGTTAACTAGAGTTCATGATCCAAAAAAGTTCAATCTGGTCCTCTGGACATTCAAAAAAACAAAACAAAGCAAAACAACAAAAAAATGTAGAAACGTTTCATCTCTCATCCGAGAGACTTCCTCAGTCTGAGGTGCTGTTTTCAGCTCAGTCTCTTAAATAGCACCTTCTCAGAGTGGATCAACCAGTTTGCTGCTGACAACCAAAACCAGCTGATCACATGCTCAAGAAGGACCATCAGCCTAACAATGGATCATTAGCACACTGATGGCTGTTTACTGTTCACAGAGGGCTGAGTGATACTAGCAATCACAGCATTGTAAGAGGGGGACAGTTGAACCCGGAGGCCTCCACCCCTGTTTAATGATGGACGGTTTCTTTTCACAAAGATGGCCTCCTTTACTCCTCTCTCAAACCATCGTTCCTCTCTGTCCAGGATGTGAACATCTTCATCCCTGAAAGAGTGACCGCTGGCCTGGAGATGAGTGTAGACCGCAGAGTCCTGGCCTGATGATGTTGATCTTCTGTGCTGGTCCATCCTTTTGGCCAGAGGCTGTTTAGTTTCCCCGATGTAAGACTGATCACCCTCCTGACACTGAACAGCATACACAACATTACTCTGTTTGTGCCGGGGGACTGGATCTTTGGGATGAACCAGTCTTT